CCTTCCCCCAGGATGGCTCTTGAAAAGCTATTTATGCTTCAGGTGTCAGAATCATGGGATGCTAGATGCTGGGCTGGGAGAGCCCAGGGCTCAACCGGATTTCCTGTTACACGTTAACACTTTCCATGTGAAAGGGCTTTCTCCACAGGGCTGATGAGGTAGTAAAGTGCTTGTTTGCAAACTCCCGCGGCTGTTTTTTTTTTTTAATTTATTTATTTATTTATTTTATTTTATTTTATTTTATTTTTCGAGACAGGTTTCTCTGTGGCTTTTGGAGCCAGTCCTGGAACTAGCTCTTGTAGACCAGGCTGGCCTCGAACTCACAGAGATCCGCCTGCCTATGCCTCCAAGTGCTGGGATTAAAGGTGTGCCCCACTACCGCCCGGCCCCCGCGGCTGTTTTATGCTGTTGCACAAGCCTAGCGTGCTGTGAGAGGAACCAAGAGGGAACTTGACTGGATGGGCACAGTGGAGAGGGTGTGACTTGACATTCATCCTTGTCTCAGGCCTGGGGTCTAAGGCAAGCCTTGGCTCATTGGGAACTCCTCTGTAGCTCAGGTCGACCAGCAGTCTCTCACTCCAGCACCCACTGTGAACTGCCCTTCACACACAACAGTGTTCTTTTCTCCCTCCCCTTCCTTCTCTTTCTTCCTGGATTCTTTGAGATAAGACCTAGTTATTAGTCTGTGCTGGCTATGAAGTCACTGTGTGCACCAGGCTGACCCCCAATTCTGTGATCCTTCTACCTCTGCCTCCCGAGTGTTGTGATCACAGGCCTGCAGCTTCAACCACTGCAGGCTCAGCCTCCCGAGTGTTGTGGTCACAGGCTAGCAGCTCCTCCACTGCAGGCTCAGCCTCCCGAGTGTTGACTTGCAGCTCCACTGCAGGCTCAGCCTGCAGTGTCTTCACAGACACACAGACACATTCCCACTTTGGCCAGGGCTGCCTTTTCTAGGATGCACCGAGGAATGGAAAAGGTTAGCAGCGGAATGAGACGATGTCACTGTTTCTCTTGGAAGAAATCTGAGTCGGCCCCATTACTTTTACTGTTATTATTAAGTAAAAAAGTTGCTTTGACGTCATTGAGCAGGCCACTGCAGCCTGCAGCAGGGTGCTAAATAGTCTGAGAGCATAGCTAACTAAGGCAATATTTTTTTTATTTTTCAGTTTTATTTTTAAATGATTTGTTTTGCTTTAGTTTTCAAGGCAGGACCTCACCATGTAGGCCTGACTGGCCTGAACGCTGCTGTGCACACCAGGCTGACCCCAAACCTGCTGCCTGCCTCTGCTTCATGAAGGCTCAGATCAAAGACCCAGCCTGTTTTATTAAGTATTGCGTATGTGTATGGATTTGTGCCTCTGAGCACAGTGTGTGCCCACGGAGGGCAGAAGAAAGCATCAGATCCCCTGGAGATGGAGTTACGAGCAGTTGACTGCCCATTGTGGGTGCTGGGAACTGAACTCTGGTCCTCTGCAAGAGCAGGGTGTCCTCTTAAGTGCTGAGCCATCTCACCAACACACATGAAACTTCCCTTTTTAAAAGGACTTTAATTTTTAGAGTCATTTTTAGCTCACAGTAAAATGGAGCCAAATGTGCAGCTCTCCTCCGGCACAGCCCTCGGCTCCCCGGCCCCACAGTGATGTCCCCCGCCAGAGTGACGCACGTTTTAATAACGGATGAGCTTGGCATTGACAGGTCATTATTCCCTTGAACCCATAGTTTACCTTGGGGTTCACTCTGATTTGTGTGCATGTGCACAGGTGTGATGTGTGTGTCCATGTACACTAGACGGTTTGCACATGCCACACGCTAGTGTGAAGAGGATAGCCTCAGCTATCGGCTCTCCCCGTCACCTCGTCTGGGGACAAGGCCTCTTTGCTGTTCACCGCAGCACATGCCAGCTGCCCTACTGCACGTGCCGGGTTAGCTGCCTGAGAGCATCTAGGCGTGTTCCCGTCCCAGCTCCCATCTCAGCGAGGACCCTGACGTGGCAGATGTACACGGCTATGCCTGGCTTTTCATGGGTTCTAGTGATCTGAACTCAGGTCCTCATGCCTGCGTGGAAACACTTTACCCATTGGGCTACCCATCCCACAGCCCCCACTATATTTTTTTAAAATTGATTAATTAATTAAAAGGTTACTTTTAATGAGATAAAATTAGATAGTTCCTGTTTTAAAAATAAAAGCTTTAAAATAGAATGAAGACCGTGTTCTAGCCTTGCTTTCTTAAGAACACATTTAAAGTTTCCGGGGTGGGCTGCATCTGCATGTGTGTGTTTGATGGTGTTGGAGCATCTTCTCTCCCCACTTCCATCGGCCTCCTTTATTCCCCCTGCGCAGCCACTTAGCAGCTGCTCCCGCGTATCCTGTGAGTGCGCGGTTTTACGTGTCTGCAGAAGACCCAGCGCCCATGCTTATCTCCTGCAGTCTGGCTCTGTTCTTTACAGCTGAAGGGAACCCACAGAGAAGATAAGTCGCCTTTACATTGTCCATTTCTGCTGCTGGACACCCCGTTAGCCCCATAGGGAATGAGGAGCGTTGCGGTGAACACTGGTGTGCAGTGTCTGTGATGTCCTCGGGGCAATGCCCAGGAATGACTGATGTGGTTGGCTCCTAGGCAAGTTCGATCCGCTGTTAGTTTCTCCAAGATACTTCCATAGTGGCCTCCATAGTGTTTAACTATGTTAAACTCGTATTTGTTCCCATTGCCAGTGTATAAGGGTCCCTTCTGTTACACACACACACACACACACACCCGTCCCGCTGCCCTTTCCTGTGTGTGTATTATGTCAGCAAGTGCTCTTACACACTGAGCCATCTCTCCAGCCTGTTACTTGTTTTCCAATGATGCCATTTTTAGTATGGTAGTATGGCGAGATGCAGCCTCAATGTAGGGTCTTCCTTCCTTCTTTCCTTCCTCCCTCCCTCCCTTCCTTCCTCCCTCCCTCCCTCCCTCCCTCCCTCCCTCCCTCCCTCCCTCCCTCCCTCCCTCCTTCCCTTCCTCCCTCCCTCCCTTCCTCCTTCCCTCCTTCCTTAATTGAAAGTGTCACAAACACAGTCCTTTCTATGTGTCTTTTAGTTAGTTCTGTTTTTTTGTTGTTGTTTTTGTTCTTTTGGTGACAAAGCAATTGCGAGGAGCCAGAGAGCCACCCGGGGAAGCCCAGCCAAGGAGCCTGAAGCCAGGCTCTAGACCGGAAGGGAGGTGACAGAAGTAGACCTGCTGTGGAGGACAAGCAGGTGCTGTGTGGCACTTGTGTGATGGTTAAAGGCAGAGCTTGGTGCATGAGTGATCGTTTCCTTGGTAACTTAAGAACGGAGGCTCGTCCTCTGGCCATGAAGTGGTCCACTGAGCAGAGTTCAAGCTCTCCCGTTGTGTCATAGTGTGGGGTGGCCTGGGATCGTCCAGGTATCACATCTGCCTTTGGCCAGGAAGCACAGCCCTGTGGCCCTCACTGCCGGGAGTGGGTGTTACGGGCTTTTCATTGAGGTGTGTATGAATGTATCAATGTATGTGGAAGAGACAGGGAATGCGTTTCTAGCATTGGGTACGGGTGTCAAATCGCGCTGATATTTTAAACCCAGGTTAATTTGTTCAAATAAGCACCAATGATGTTGCTTGCCGAGCTCCTTCAGACCAAGCCTTACAGCCTTAGGTACTAGAGCGCCGTCTGTGTGGGTAGGCATCTCCCCTTTAACTTTCTGTCTTGAAAGTGTTTAGGAGGTTGGAGAAGCAGAGCAGTCTGACAGTGTCTGTATTCAACTGCTGTCAGTCGTGTGTGTGTGTGTGTGTGTGTGTACACCATGTGTTCGTGTGTACATACATGCATGCATGCATTCAAACCATTTAAAAATTACAGGCATCATGACATCTAAACATTTTTTTCTTTTTATTTTATACGTATGTGTGCTTTGCCTTCATGTATGTCTATGAACCACGTGTGTGCCCTTAGAGGCCAGAGGAGGGCATCGGATCTGCTGGGACCAGAGTTGCAGATGGTTGTGAGTCACCATGTGGGTGCTGGGAATTGAACCCGTGTCCTCTGCAAGAGCTATCAGTGCTCTTAACCACTGAACCCTCTCTCAAGCCTTCATCCTGATGGTTCTTACTCACAATAGAGCTGCTGATATCGCCTAACTCCTCTCTCCTGCATAACTGCAACCCCACTATCAGAAACCGTAGAAAATGTTGGCTAGAGAGACGGCTCAGCAAAGGGCTTGCTTGCAGGTGTATGGATTTGAGTTTGCTACCCAGACCCATGTAAAAAGGTCCACCAGTTAGGGTCTAGTCAGGAGGATCCTTGCCTTGCTGGCCAGCCACTGTAGCCAGTCAGCGAGCTCCATAATCAGGGAAGAAACTTGTCTCAGAGAAAAAAATGTGGTGGAGAATGATTAAGGAAGACACTGCCCTTGCCCTCTGACCTCCATAATCAGTGTACATCTGTGCATGCACACACCGGGATGCTGTACACACACAATAAAACCAAGAAATTTAGCAATGATCTAATTCTCTCTCTTAATTTTTAAGCTTGCCTTGATGCTTCCTGACTTTCCGAATCCTGCCCTTCCCCTCAACTGGATTTAATCAATATCAACAAACCCCCTTTTATTTTTTCCAATTTCTCCACTTTTTGCCTGGGAAGCAGCTTGCGTGGGCTTCTACCCTCCCTTTGATATTTGTTTTTAGTTGTTTACTTGTTGATGGTCCAGACCAATTCTCTTGAATTTTTTTCTGTTGGGTCAAAGATTCAGAAAATCTTTTATTTTTATTTCTTAGCTGGCATAGCTATTTTCTAGAGTCCATGATGCCGGGTTGTTCTTTGACGGTAGACACCCCTGAGGGCTGTTTGGGAGCCTTCACCAAGGTAGCTGACAGGTTTAGAAAGATATGGAGTTCAGCCCCACAATCCCAAACAGCCCGAGACAATAACCTCTGAACTGACACTCTTCGCTGCATGTGCATTCTGGTCGTTTTCAGAACAGCAGTTATCTGGGGAGTTGCTGTTTCACCATCCATGTGTTGTGTCGTGCTGAAGAGTCTGCGGAGAGATTGTTTTTGCTAGGCTAGTCGGGTACCAAGCCAGCCACATTCTTTCATAGGTGTTTAAGGGAGACACACCCAGACGTAAAGAGCCTGGCCCAGGAAGAGAAACAAACATACTGGTGTCCACAGAGCAAACACTTCTGTCTGTTTAAGGCTTTCTTAACGTAGGCTTCAACTCTTAGCTTGCCTGTCCTGTGCTTCAGTAAGTCGAGGGGAATTCACCAGTAAACACTTAGGATATTTTGGCTTCCCCTCTTCTCCCCCTCCCCCTTTGGGTGGGTCCCTCCATATTTTCTGTCCCTATCAGGAGATCAGGTTGGCGTGGCTTGGAAGTAAACATGATACTCTGCCAACATAAAGTGGTTCAGAAATGTTAATCTATTTTACCAAGCCAGCATTTCTAGCCATACGTATCTTAAGCTATCATAAAACATGTACCTGCCATGCTCAGGAATGTGCCGAGGGCGAATATCAAAGCCTGCCGAGGGAGGCTGGGAGTGTGTTTTGCTGTGTTGTAGGGTTATACCCTGACAACCTTCAGGAGGCCTGGGGTTCTGGCAGGGAGCGGCGTATAAATATCGCAGACAGCTCCTTTATCCATCGACTTATTCCTGCAGGGACCAATGGTTCCTATGTGTTCACTCAGGAGCAGTGCCGTGCCAGGATGGATGAGGGGCTCAAGCTGCTTGCACCTGCCTGAGTTAGCTGTCAGTCCGTCCAGCCATAACTCTCTGAGCCTAGCAGGAGCAGGCAGCCGTATGGAAAAGCTCTCTGCTTATTGCCGGCTTCTTTGAGAGAAGTTTCCTGGGCCTCCTGACCAGGACATCACTGGTTCAGGGCGACGGTAAAGTCATTTTGCTTGGTATTTAATGCTTGCGTTCTCCGCGTTTGTTGTGTCTTTATTTTCATTTGCTGGGACGTCAGGTTCCTGTCAGTCTTTCACTAGTGGGTTAAACATCCTGTAACCGGGGACAGGGCTTTTGTACCAACTCATCTGTAAAGGAACGGAGCCGTGCTTTGGTGTTCCACGCATCTGTCTCATTATTTGTTGAACAAAAGGACACAGTGAGATTTTTAAGTACACTATTGAATCTGTATATTTCAGGGAGTAGGGATATAGCTCACAGGGCCCTGGATCTGCTTCTCAGCACCAAATCAAGCAAAACAAGGTGGCAGTGAGAATCCCGTGTTGTGAATTAAAGAGTTAAATGTATGCCGTCACCGTTCACAGCATACATTCTGAGTAAATAGTTATTAAAATCAGTATTAAATCATTAAAAAAAAAAGCTGAAGAAACTCAGCGTCGTAGGGTGGGAGCAAGATGAAATAAATGTTCGGTTCCTCGAAGCTCCGGGGCCACCACCTGCGTTCTCACCGCACGATCATTTTCTGCTGCATGCATTTCCTCATTGTAGATGTCTTCATGTGTGTGACAAGACACACGCGTGCAGCTCAGAGGGCAGCTTGTGGGATTGACTCTCTCCTCTGCCATGTGTGCTCCGGGGGCTGAACTCGGCTTGTCAGGCTCGGCGGCCTGCACCTTTCTACTCCTTCTGCAGAAAGGGGCCCAGAGAGGATGGCGGTGTAAACGGGAGTGTGGGGTGCCCTGGGTTGTATTTCTTTCTGCTAAGCCTCTTGTTCGCAGGTCTTCTTGCGCTTCACCCTGACGAGAGCGGGTAAGACACATGGTCTCTCACAAGGCACTCAGAGCTGCAGCGCTCACAGGCACTTGAGTCTGAGCCTTCACCTGCCTGGGTGCTTGTGTGCACACATGTATGCTGTGTTGTGCACCACCGACAGCTTCCCTTCCAATCCAGTGAGTAATCACATTGCCTCTCTTCCCTCTACAGCCGTCCTGCAGAGGGCTGACGGACATGGACACCCTTCCCCTACCTTAGTGTGACCGTTCCAACACAGACCTGCTAAGGCCGTCTAAGGGGTGCCTGTGCCAGGAGAGGAGGGAGGCGTCCCCCGGCCGGCCGCAGAGCCATGCCTTTCGGCCTGAAGCTTCGTAGGACTCGGCGCTACAATGTCCTGAGCAAGAACTGCTTTGTTACACGGATCCGCCTGCTGGACAGCAATGTCATCGAGTGCACCCTGTCTGTGGAGAGCACGGGGCAGGAGTGTCTGGAGGCCGTGGCCCAGAGGCTGGAGCTGCGGGAGGTGAGTTGGGCACGTGTCCCTGTATGGGGACAGGAGGCGGGGGTCCTGAAAAGAGCCAGCTATCTGCTAACGTGTCAGCACCTGCCGTGTTTTTAGCCTAAGCATGTGTTTAGAAGAAACTGCTGTTCTTAGTGGGTGTGAGCTGACAGAGCTCCAGTGGCTCAGGCGACCAGTGCTGACGTCAGAGGGAAGGGCCCTCAGCTGGTACAGAAAAGTGGGTTTCCTTCTGTTTCCCTCGTGACATTTTTACGGGGAGGTAAGAATGAGAGACTTTTCCCACCAAAGCCATTATTTTTTTCTCTTTAAAGCAGTTGAGTGGGTAGTTGGCATTCGGGTTTGATGGCTGTGTCACAAGGAGAAGCCACCCACGTTTGGGTGCTGCAGCTCCCTTTTGTTTGCTTCTCTATTTCTCCCTTACAAAGAAAAGGAGCAAATAGCATTGAAGTGAGAGTGACCCACAGACATGGGGAAGCATTTTAATTTTGTTTTTCGAAACAGGGTTTCTCTGTGTAGCTCCGGCTGTCCTGGAACTCATTCTGTAGACCAGGCTGATCTTGAACTCACAGAGATCCATCTGCCTCTGCCTCCCGAGTGCTGGGATTAAAGACAGGCACCACCACCACCCAGATGAAAAAGCATTTTTTAAGAATTAAAAAAAGAGGGGCTGGAGAGATGGCTCAGTGGTTAAGAGCATTGCCTGCTCTTCCAAAGGTCCTGAGTTCAATTCCCGGCAACCACATGGTGGCTCACAACCATCTGTAATGAGGTCTGGTGCCCTCTTCTGGCCTGCAGGCATACATGTAGAAAGAATATTGTATACATAATAAATAAAAAAAAAAGAATTAAAAAAAGATTAAAATGCGCATGCATGCGTGTGTGTGTGTGTGTGTGCGTGCGTGCGTGTGCGTGTGTGTGTGTGTGTGTGTGTGTGTGTAGGCTAGATGACAACCTTGGGTATCCTCCGCGGGAGTGCTGTCTTGGTCTTTTGAGACAGAGTCACTAAGCCTGGAGCTCACTGAATTGTCTAGACTATAGGGATCCTCCTGTCTCTGTCCCCACCCTCCCAAACCCTGGGACTCTAAGCCTGCCATACCCCGGATGTTTGTGTGGGTTCTGGGAATTGAACTCACATTCCTGTGCTTGGATGTTACGCACTTTACTGCGGAGCTGTCCTCCCATCCCCAGGGAGAGCGGTTAAAACAGGTATTTGTTTCTTTGAGCTCCGTGCAAGCCATTCGTCTTTGTGGCTTGTTCTGGTTTCTGAGTCAGGGTCTCACTTTGTGACCAGTCAGGCCTCCGACGTGTGATCCTCTTGCCCCAGACTGCCAGCTGGGGTCACAGCCATGCACACCACACCGGCAGGTCCCCAGTATGTGGCTGCTGTGTTTTCATTTCCCAGGCATTCAGGGTGAGACTCTTGTAAGGAATCCACGCTTGTGCATTTTGAGTCCTGATGGCCACATGACACATTGGCTGGTCAGCAGCCTGTGGGCAGAGAGTAGCCTACACCGCGTGACCCAGGAACCCTGAGCCTCAGGAAGCTCCGGGACACCTGGGATCTCATTGGGGTTCAGGGGACAGAGGAGGCTGATGGTCCACGTGCCACACCTGAGGTCCAACCCTTCTCCTTGCAGCTTCTTATGCAGGGTGACTGTAGTTCTGTGGGAGGCTTTTGTCCCTGAACACCTCTGTGCCCTCTGTCCTTCGTGTTGGTATCTGGCTTTAGCATTTGGGTGGGCTGTCTGCTCAAGGAACATGTCCACCGGCAGCCGGAGATTGGCCTCAGCAGCCAGTCAGTGGAGCTGGCTGCCAACCCAGGAGAACAAACTGGGAAAAGTCTTGGCTGTGCTGATGGCCGGTAGCTAGCTGTCCCTTGTTTAGTGGTGGCATTTTGGGGTATACATATTTACACATATGTAAATTCCTGTAAAAAATAAAAACTTAATTTGTATAGCACTGGAAGAAAGTGTTTTTGCTCTTTGAGTATTTCTATTCCTGTTGCTAACAAGTCATTCATATGCGTCGGATCATTATAATATATGGTAAATTGCTAACAAGTCATTCATATGCATTGTGTCATTATAATATATGGTAAATAGCTACAATGTGTTCATATGCATTGGATCATTATAATATATGGTAAATAGCTAACAAGTCATTCATATGCATTGTGTCATTATAATATATGGTAAATAGCTACAATGTGTTCATATGCATTGGATCATTATAATATATGGTAAATAGCTGTACATGTAGGTAGGGTTTGTTGTGTTGGACTTGGCTCAAATTATGATTCTGAAGCTTATTTGCAGAGTGACTGGAGAAATTACTGCCCCTGTTTGGCCTCTGTTTCCTGACCTGTAAAGTGGGAAGAGTGGCGCTTACTTTGTGGTCCTCTTGGCAATCTCAAAAGCCGTTCTGTCTGGAGAGACAGAGTGCTGCGTCCACTGATTCATGACTGCTCACACGTCAACGTCTCTAGAAATGATTTTTATTACATAGAATTGAGTGACTTCCCTAGGATTTGCTAGACACTGGGGGGGTGCATTAGGAGGGTCCAGCACTTAGGTAATGAGTGAAGACTGAATGCCACCTGTGCTAGGCATATCACCGGGTAAGGCGTGGATGGTGCCTGTCCTTAGCCATTCAGTGCCTAGACGCGTGTGGGCCAGGCAGGGGTGAAAGCCGGCTGGGGAGGAGACTAGGGTGGCCAAGTGGGCACAGTGCTCGCTGCATGAGGGTGAAGGCCTGACGTCAGTTCTCCAACACTCACATCTAAGGCTGAGTGTGCCAGCGAGTCAGAACTGGGGTGTGGAGACAGCTGGGTGTGTCCCCAGGGCTCAGTGGCCAGCCAGTCTAGCTGAAGGACCGAGCTCCAGATTCAGTGAGACCCTTTCTGAAAGTAAAGCTCTCAGACATATTGTGATGTGTCAGCCTCTGGCCCCCATAAACACTGCTTGGGTGTGTACATCTGTGCACACACACACACACACACACACACACACACACACAGCCTCTGTGCTTTGAATCTGGACCTGAAGCCTACATTAGGCGTTCAGGTAGGAAAGATGAAATGTCCTCCTCAGCCGGGCGATGGTGGCGCACACCTTTAATCCCAGCACTCGGGAGGCAGAGGCAGGCGGATCTCTGTGAGTTCGAGACCAGCCTGGTCTACAGAGCTAGTTCCAGGACGGGCTCCAAAGCCACAGAGAAACCCTGTCTCAAAAAAAAAAAAAAAAAAAAAAAAAAAAAAAAAAAGAAATGTCCTCCTCAGCAAAGGGAGCTGGATCTGCAGAGAGGAGGAAATCAAGAGCAACCGCCTGCGCTGGGGAGGGGGGCGAGGGGGTGAGTGAGGGTGCGGTAGAGTTGGGGGCTGGCAGGGTGTGTGTGTGTCGGGGGAGTGGTGCAAAGGCATCTCCCCGGTCCACCAGCAGAGCTCTGGGGAGTAGTGAGAGGTGAGGGATGTTGGGGCACCTGTGCAGTACTGGTTCCTCTCTGCCAACCCTGGCTTCCCTCTGAGAGGTCAAAGGGCAACCCCAGATGATCCTGCCACTACCTCGTCAGCTAGGATGAAGGGAGCAGTTCAGAGGCTCCTGTCATGTGTGCATTGTTGCGTGATTGGCAGCTCCGTGTTAAGGTGTGGTTCAGCTTTCACGCTGGCTTTGTGCTGGCGGCCCTCAATGGGTTTGTCACCTCTGAGCAAATCGCTTTCTCCTTGGCTCTTCACTTTCATCCTGTGACAGGGAACATGGGAGCTGTGACCCTTCCTAGTCAATCAGAGCTCCCCGGGAGTTCAAGGAACAGGCTCTGTACATCCAACAGGAATGTCTTCATCCAGAATCAGAAGAGGAAGGGGCTCAACACAGGGCTGCCCCCTCCCCACCAATGGGGACTGTCGCCCAGTTTAGCCTCTTTTCCTTGTGCAGATTTGCATTTTTTTCAAAGCTCTCAGCTGTAGCATTCATCTTCCGCGCTTGGCTACTCTCATGTGTAAAGATTTTAGAGACACAGGGACTCAGTATGCATTTCCCATCAAAGAAAGGTGAGCGCACATTGCAGAGGGGGTGTGTGGCTTGACTGAGGTTAGTCTAGTGGCGCTGGGTAACAGCTCTGATTGTCTGATGTAGGGACGGACTATTTGATTGACAAGAAAACCTCATTCCCTAACCTGTGGAATCTGTCTCAGTTCTGTAACCTTTTTAACCACAGCTGGGGTTTAAAATGATCAAAATGATCAGCATGGGGCCAATGAGATGTGTTGCTCTGCTTTCTGTTGCTGTGATAAAAACGCTGAAGGCATCTTGGGGGAAAAGAGGGTGTGTTTCATCTTAGACGGTACTGTCCATCATCTGGAGTAGCCTGTTAGGAGCTCAAGGCAGAGGCCTGGAGGCAGGAACCGAAGCAGAGGCCAGAACCACCAGTCCAGGGATGGCACTGCCCGCAGTGGGTTAATCATTAACTAAGAAAAATGGCCCACAGTTGTGCCCAGAGGCCAATCTGGTGTAAGCATTTCCTCAGTTAGGAGCCCAGGTATGTCTAGGTTTGTGTCAACTTGAAACAAAACTAAAGTAGACGGCTCCCTGGGTAAAGGTAGATGCCACCAAGCTTGACTAATGGCCTGAGTTTGATCCCGGAGAGAACTGGTACTTACGAATTGTCCTCTGACTTTCGCGTGTACACATGGCACATACACACCATAGCATGTTTGTGTGTGTGTGCACGTGCGTGCGCACATGCACACACACACACATAAACAATCCTGAGAAAGAGTCTGCTGAGAGCAGGTTGTGAGGGGGAAATTCAGGGCCTTTGAATTTTGTGTTGGTTTCTTGTCTCGTGAATATTCTAATTGGAAATCTTAGCTGGCCTCTGCTGTCGTGGTACTTCATTTTAGTAGAAACAGAGGTGGTTATTTCTCAGCCTTCACTCTTAAGTCTTTCTCATTGGGTGTGTTCTGAGGGAGTCTGGCTGCCGGAGGAGAATGCTTGCGTGGGATCATG